GAGACGACGACGGGTACGTCTCGAAGGTCCTCGACCGGCCGACGTTCCGGCTCTGGCTGCTCAACGTCCTCGAGCAGAACGCCGCGGGGCTGGCCCTGATTCTGGACCACCTCGACGCCGCGGTGTCGCTCTTGCTGAAGCAGCAGTGGGCCGACGCGGCGACGCGGCGCGAGCTCGACGCGATCCGCGCCTTCGTCTACGACCACCTCGAAGAGCGCCGCCCGGGCGCCGTCGCGCCGGGCGACCGCGACGCGCGCGGCCGCGGCGACGCGGGCGCCGCGCCGCCGCCGGGCGCACGCCTCAAGATCCGCGGCCTCCGGAACCGCGGCGGCGTGGACTTCGTCGAGGACCGGGAGCGGGGGAAGACGGGGGCGTGACGTAAGGACGTTGCCGCTCGAGCGAGCACGGCGGGCGTGGTGAGCGTGGCGTGCGTGGTCACGCCGTGGTGTGTCGCGCCGCTGTGCGTCGCACCGTGTGGCAGGATCCTAGGAGCCTGGCTAGAAGCCTGGCAGGACATTGGCACCTGGCGCCGGCAGCTGAGCACATCGACGCCTTCAACATGTGCTCAACGTATAATATCCGCCGGACCGGCTCGCATCGGGCGCTCGGAGCGCGCGAAGCATCAGCTCGACACGCACCGAACACTCCGTCTTTTTCCGGTGTCCACTACGCGCCCCCAGCCCCAGACGCGCCCGCGAGCCGCAGCGCTCTCACGCAACGCGCCCCTGACCGCCCACGCCCCCGCAGGCAACCCGCACAAGCCCCTAAAGCTCACCGCACCCCCTAAAAGAAGCATGACGATCCACAGCGAGAAAAACGAGAAGAAGGCGCGCAACGACAAGAACACCTACTACAAGAAGCAGGCCGGCAAGGCCGTGGAGTCGACGCCCCCGAGCGACGAGGAGCTCGCCGCGGCCCTCGAGGCCGACGTCGCGGAGCGGCGCGCCGTCAAGGCGCACGTGCCCCTCGCCTCCATCAACCGGGGCGCCCTCGACGAGGGCGACCGCGACGCCGCCCAGGCGCGCGCCGAGGAGGCCCAGGCGGCGCGGAAGCTCGCCAAGAAGGAGCAGAAGGCCAAGGACAAGGCCGCGGCCAAGGCGAAGCGCGTCGAGCGCAAGCGCGCGCGGTCCCTCTCCGACTCGGAGCCGGACAAGGTCCAGGCCACGGCGCCGCCCCCGGAGCCCGCGGCCGCGGAGAGCTCCGGCGGCTTCTTCGGCTTCTTCCGGTCGCTCGTGAGCGCGCACTAGAGGCGGGGCGCCGCGCGGCGC